AAAAAATTGTAAATGGAAGATTATAAGAGAGGGTTTCGCGTGCCAGCAAAAGTTACAGGCGTGCCATGTTTGGCACGTGTGCCAGGGGTTGCCCACCCCTGTTCTAGATCAAGCTGCCCGGATTCAAATCCTGGATTTGGGAAAAATTACTCAACTTCTTGGATTCTTAGTTTTCCTATCTATAAAATGAGGGTAATGACAGTAAATATCTCATAGAGTTGTTATCAAGCATTCATTAAATTAGCACATGTAAAGCACATGGAATAGTACCTGGCATGTGTTAAGTGCCTACTAAGTGTTAGTTATTATAATTAGCTTATTTTCCTGTGGCTAGTTCTTTAAGGCCTAATGAAGCCTGTCTGTCTTTTATCATTCATTCACTCACCAAACATTTGTTGTGTATCTACTGCTGTTTTGAATACATTCAAGGGTTTTCTGCTAAGTGATGCTGTTGAGTAGAACTTTCTGCAGTGATGGAAATATTTTTTATCATGCTGTCCAAAAAGCCACATATAGCTAATGAGCATTGAAATGTGGCTGGAGTGAACAGGCACTAAATTTTTTATTTTATTTAAATTACCACATGAAACTTTGCGCAGTGGCAGTATGGTAGCCAATGAGGTTTATCTGAGATGCGATTATTGCTAATTGGAAAAAAAAACTACCACATGAATAGTGGCTACTGTACTGGACAATACTGGGTTAGAGTCCATCTACATCTTTGCTCTTGTTTTGCTAAATGTATATATGTTCCAGTCTAGAACCATAGTGGTGTGATGAGACCAATGATACTATTACTATTCTAATGTTTCCTTGATCTACTTTCTTAGCCTATCCATTTTTGGTTCCATTGCTCAAAAATGACACACCCTCTCTTTTAACTTACAGGAAGTTATATTCTTGTTCTCAGCTAAGTTCTCTAATATAAAGACTAGTTGCCCTAACTGGTGTGGCTCAGTGGATAGTGCGCCGGCCTGCGGACTTAAGGGTCCCGGGTTCGATTCCAGTCAAGGGCATGGACCTTGGTTGCGGGCACATCCCCAGGGGCGGGGGGCATGCAGGAGGCAGCTGATCGATGTTTCTCTCTCATCGATGTTTCTAACTCCCTCTCCCTCTCCCTTCCTCTCTGTAAAAAAAATCAGTAAAATATATTTTAAAAAAAACTAGTGTTAACTCTGTCTTGATCTTCACAATAAGTCAACAAATGAGGTAATGTATATAAAGCCTATAGATCTGTGGTACAGTGAGTATATTATACATGAAAATTATTATAATTAATAATTTATGTTTTTGAGTCTCCACTTTTATAGAGTATTTTGAACACAATGAAAGGAGATTCTCCTACCAATGGCCTAAAGCAAGCAGAGACCTCTTGGCTTTTGTTACCCAGAGGAATACTATTTTAGTATATGTGCTGCCGAAGCAAGCACCAGAGGAATACTATAGCAGTGGAAACATCCTATCTAATAAAAGACAAACAGGGTAATTGACCGTACCTTCACTACACTTCCCATTGGCTAATCAGGGTGATATGCAAATTAACTGCCAAGAAAGATGGCGGGTAACCACCAACAAAGATGGCGGTTAATTTGCATAGGTAGGCGCAATGATGGGAGGTGAAAGGGGAAGGACGGAAGAACGGTGATCAGAAACCTAGGCGGCAGGCAAGAACCGGGTGGCAGCTGCCTTTGCCCTGCCCCCCGGCCCTGGATCGGAGAACCGGGGCCGCCTTTGCCCGCCCCCCAGCCGGTGATCGAGATCGGAAAGCCGGGCCGCAGGCAAGGCGGCACCCCCGGGACCCAGGAGCCCGTGAGGTCTGCAGGTGAAGCAGCGATACAGGGGGCTGGCCTGCAGCCTCCGCAGCTGAGCGCAGGCCCGGAGAGGAGATGGCGGGCCTGCCTCCCGCAGAAGCAGCGTGGGTCCCTACCACCTCCCACGGAATCTGCACGAGTCCCTCCATGCTCCAGTAGAAGTGGCGTGGCTCCCTCCTGCCTCCGGTGGAAGCAGCGCAGCTCCGGGCGGTGCACTGTGGTTCCTGCCAGCTCCTGCGGAAGTAGTGGGCAGCCTACTGCACAATATTGTGCAATGGGCCACTAGTCCTATATAATAAAAGAGAAACATGTAAATTGACCATCCCTCCGCGATACACCACCAGCCAATCAGGAGTGAGCATGCAAATTAACCCAACAAAGATAGCGGGTTAATTTGCATACACAGACGCCAAGTGCTATGCTCACCAGCCAATCAGGAGTGAGTATGCAAATTAACCCAACAAAGATAGCGGGTTAATTTGCATACACAGGCGCCAAGTGGAGAGCAGAGCAGGAGAGCCGGTGGAGAGTGGAGTGGCTTGG